TTCCCATCCCCTCTCTCTGTCACGGCACGGTAACGACAAAAAGGGGTTGAGGACTCAAGTGCAGAAAAAATAATAATTTATTACAAAAACAAAACAAACACAAAGCAAAACCCCACAAGGGGGAAAAAACACGATAAATAAATACAAATGAAACACAACAAAACCTGAACATGTAGAGGATCACAGGGAACGGGAGACAAAACAACAATCCAACAAAGACTGCAAACAAGAGGAGACTTAAAAAGGGAACAAATCAAGAGGGGACAGGTGGAAGGACTCAAACACTAATCAGGTAACGAGGGGGAGGGATCAGACAATGACGAGAGCACATGGCCCAAAATAACAAAACACCTATGTGCAACACAAGACAGGACAGGCATGTGACATTACCCCCTCCCTACGGAGCGGCTACCAGACGCTCCATCAGGCAGGACGGGAGGAACAGACCAGGGCGGGACGGGAGGGACAGACAGACCAGGGCGGGACAGGAGGGACAGACCAGGGCGGGACGGAAGGGACAGACCGCTTAGTCCTGGGAGGCCAGGGTGAAACAGATAGTCCATCGGGCGGCCAGGGCGAAACACATAGTCCATCGGGCGGCAAAGAACCCTCGGGCGGCCAGGGCGGCGAAAAGCCCTCGGGCGGCCAGGGTGGAGCAGAGCCCTCGGGGGCCAGGGCGGAGCAGACCTTTCGGGTGGCCAGGGAGGAGAAGACCCCTCGGCCGGCCAGGACGGTGAAGACCCCTCGGGTGGCCTGGGCGGAGCAGACCTTTCGGGTGGCCAGGGCGGAGAAGACCCCTCGGGTGGCCAGGGCAATGCAGACCCCTCGGGCGGCCAGGGCTGTGAAGACCTCTCGGGTGGCCAGGGCGGTGCAGACCCCTCCGTCGGCCAGGGCGGAGCAGCTCTTTCAGGTGGCCAGGGCGGTGAAGGTGAAGACCCCTTGGGTGGCCAGGGCGGAGCAGACCTTTCGGGGGGCCAGGGCGGTGAAGACCCCTCGGGTGGCCAGGGCGGTGAAGACCCCTCGGGTGGCCAGGGTGGTGCAGACCCCTCGGGTGGCCAGGGCGGTGCAGACCTCTCGGGGGGCCAGGGCGGTGAAGCCCTCTCAGGACCAGACACCGGCTCGGGAACAGACACCGGCTCGGGAACAGTCACAAAGACAGACATAAAAAAACAGACACAAACACTGGGTCCGACATGAGCTCCAGCTCTGGAACAGGCACTGGCTCTGCCTCCGGCTCAGGAACAGGCACTGGCTCTCCCTCCGGCTCAGGAACAGGCACTGGCTCTGCCTCCGGCTCAGGAACAGGCACTGGTTCTCCCTCCGGCTCAGGAACAGGCACTGGCTCTCCCTCCGGCTCAGAAACAGGCACTGGCTCTCCCTCCGGCTCAGAAACAGGCACTGGCTCTGCCTCCGGCTCAGGAACAGGCATAGGCTCAAGAACAGACACTGGCTCAGGAACAGACACTAGAACAGAAACAGTCACAAGGACAGACACCAACACTGGGTCCGGAACCGACATGAGCTCCAGCTCTGGAACAGGCACTGGCTCTGCCTCCGGCTCTGGAACGGGCATTGCCTCTGCCTCCGGCTCTGGAACGGCTCTGGAACAGGCACTGGGTTCATCTCCGAAACACCGGCTCTGGCATGTGACGCTTTCAAACACATTGGTTTACTTCCTTTGGTATTGTCCACTTTTTTCCAAAACACAAACACATTTATCTTCATACATTTATACAATAGTCTAGCAGCAAAATTTCCAGCTTAACAGCTCATTTTCAATCAATTTTGTAACGTTCAAAAATCATTTCTTTAAATCTTTACCTGAATTGTTTTATATTTGAAAATTCCTTAAAGGGATACTCCACTTTTTTTGGAAATATGCTAATTTTACAACTTTACATTTTCCGTCTCTCTTAGTGCACGATGTAACTATAGAAGAGTCAAGTTTTAAATAGGAAAAATATCGTTTTGGTAACATTTTGGTAATTTTTTTTTTTTTGAGAGAAGTGGTAATGGTCTTGTGCACTTCAATGATGTATGCTAAGCTACTGTATGCTAAAAGTAGTACCGTCAGAACCGGAGATCGGCTGAATGGATTTAAAAAAGGTAAAACTCAACAATTTTACTCTGGGGTTGTAAAATGAGCCTATTTCCAAAAAAGGAGTATCCCCATACAAGGGGTGAAACTGCGGAACAACTTAAATGAGAAGCTTATCTCATTTAAGTTGTTCCACAGTTTCACCCTTTGTATGGAAACACAAAAACTTTTCTTCCTACTATGTACCAATGGTAAAATGAAATTTAATCTTCCTCTCAACACATACACTCCTTCTCTCCGAGTAAATAACTTTTGTAAATCATTACACTTTGCCCTATATGAAATTTGCAGAGTAAATCCACTAAATCTTTACATTTTAATAATTTGGACTCCATAAAAAAATATATTGGTATGTTCCCTATAATCTGCCCCATGAATGATCCTTAAAGGTCTCTTCTGTAAAATGACAAGTGGCTGAACTGTTGTTATGTAATTGTTTCCCCACATTTCTACACAATAAGTGAAATATGAGAAAACTAATGAACCATAAAGCATACAGAAGCATAGCTACGTAAGGAAGTTAGTCCAGACTTTCATCTTTCATGCATCTTTCATACTTTATTGCGCCAGTTGCCAGATAGTTTTAAACACCTTCCTCAGAAACTTTTTTAAGTGGCTCAGTTGTATTATACAAAGCAGATTCTGAAGTGTACTGAGTGAATACAGAGGCTACTTAACATGTTCTGGGTGGTTGATAATGTGTTGCTATGCATTTGCTAGGGTGTTCTGGGTGGTTATTAGGTGCTTGCTTACTGGTCCAAATCCAAGTGTCTGATTTTTTGGTCTTTAGGTATTGATTGCAATCCTCTAAAACAACTGTAAAAGGTAGAGTCACTTTAGCAGAATTTCAGTGAAATTTTGCAGGCATTGTCTCTAGTGTAGCGATGCATGAAGCACTTCGAACACAGAAGTCACTTTCAAAACGAGCAGCTTTCTGTTGGTCAATATGCTGAACTTGCATGGAAAAACATGAAAGCAATCTGTTTGGGGATTTTATTTTATTATTATAATTATTATTATTTTTGGCTTCATGCGAAACTCCCAATTATGTGGTTTCCTATTGAAATGACTGGAATTCACCCTTAAAATGTAGCCCACTAGACAAACTACATTGCTACATTTACATTACATGTATTAGTGAATAGTACTGCAAATAGTTCTGTCATACCAAATTTCCATTGTACATTGGGTGGACACTTAGAAAAGCTGCACAATTTGAGGTATCATTCATGTCAGCGCAACGGTTGAAAATGTATCTGCCAAAGTTTGTTAAAACCCCTGAGTATGAGCAATAACAGCAAATACCACTAAGAATATGCAATTGAATCTAGTTCTCAGTAGTTAAAGTTCATGTTTGTTTATTTGTATGTATGTTTCAGACATGGTCCGTCGTTGGTGTACGTTGGAAGGTGGATTTCTTAGTTACTATGACAACGAGAAGATCGCCACCCCCATAGGTCGGATTGACGTCAGCAACGTGGTGAGCCTGGCCATCAGCAACATTGAGAACATCACCGAAACAGGGTACAGGTTTCTCTTTCTCTCACACCCTCGTTTGCGCTTGACCACCTTTTGTGGGTTAGAGGTTACGGAAAGCATTTTTAATGTGACCTCACCTCAGACTTTCCATACACTAACAAACATAAAGAAATGAGAGCTGACCGACCCTCACCCGATTGACCTGACTCTCATTTTTCTGCGATTATTTTGCTCTCGCTGCTATAGCAAAAGTATCCCCTTCCAAAAATGTGGGCCACAAGTCAGAGCTGTTAAAGCCATTAAGAGAGTGACCTTTCCCCCTGGATTAATCTCCTGTGTTCAGCTGTTTATTGTAAGAGCAAAAGACTAACAGAGATTAATCACCATCCTTTCTGTTTCACAGCTGTGTGCATGTGTGTGTTTCAGTCATTTTGTGTGTGTGTTAATTGCCGTTTCACACCTCCCTCAGGCCAGTGTTCACCTTTGAGTTGTACATGCGCTCTCAGAGAGTGCTGGTGTTCGGAGCGGAGACCTCGGACACACACCAAGATTGGACGCATGCCATCGCCAAGGTGACACTCATTTTTTAACACACAAGTCTTTGAAGATTTATCGCAACTTTACCTTGCAGGGATTTAGCATAAGTGTGTGATTAAATATGAATTTCTGCATTAGCCGTACTCTATTGTATGCGTGGACTCTTGAAGGTCATTTGATTGTGTCTTTGTCCCTGTTGTGCCGGAGTGCATTTGTGCGAGTGGGTGTTTGCTATTACCCCTTCAAATAGATCCATCTCACTTGCCTCTCATCCTTCACTCTCTCACACACACACATTCCCATTTAAGTGAAGTGTGGAGGTGCTAGTGTCTAGGCTGAAGTGTTTGCGTAACTCCGAGAGCTCAGCTAGGGAATGTTCAAAGAATGTTTGTGTTTGTACTTCTATCTGTATATGCCGGTTTAATGCAACTCCAGGGTTAGTTGTAGTTTCTGTTTGGCAGAAAACACTAGAAACTTATTTGTGTGATCTGCACAAGCCCCTGACTTTTAAATGTTTTCTCTCTGCCACTCACACGGTAGCTCTGTCTAATGTTTTTCTCTTTCTTTCTAGTGTTTTGTCCCCGCAAGGGCAGATGCTCTGCTGAGGCAGGACAGTGAGCTTATTGGCAGACTGTACTATAAAGAGGGTCACGACCTTTATCATTGGCGAATGGGATGGTTTGCTCTGGTGGGCTCAGAACTCTACTTCTGTTCTGGAGATGAAGATGAAGAGGAGGGAGTTCTTCAACTCAAACGCCTACAGGAACTTAGTGAGGACAAAATGCACACATACCAGTAGAATGAAAGATATTAAAGAAATAGTTCATCCATGTTTTTCCAAACCCGTATGACTTCTGTCGAATAGGCATGTTTTTTTAAAGTTATCATGGCCTGTTATTGGCACTGTTAATCTCTAAAATGAAAAAAAAAAACAAAAACTAACAAACAAACAAAAAAATCCCCACCATAGCAGTAATGAAAGTGGTTCATGAAACGTGTGCACTATATTACTATATATTATATTATACTATATAAGTCTTTTGGATTTGTAAGGCCTGCGAAGGTCTCACGCGTGTTCCGTCTCTTCTCATGGCAAAGGGATTTTTAATTAAATGCAATACATTTTATCTTATGTATTAACTCGTTTCATCTGAGTCCATAAAATGAAAAAGCTTTATCAATGATATCTGTGCATCGTTAAATACACGTTAATGTTTGACTATTCCTTAACTGTAATGAAAATAAAGTCAAAGTCTGTTAGAATAATATAACAATTTATTATGTCAGGTAAATGTATTATTACAATTCCATAACCAATTAAAAGATAATCAATGCAAACCATCAAAGTTCTAGAACAAAAAGGAAAATCTTTTACCCGACATGTGGCTACGTGAGCTGAGAGTCGCGATACCCTCCCTCACGGGCTTAAACTGAATACAGACAACAGCCTCAAGCTCTCATTTTCCTTATATAGCCAGACCTCATTTCAAATGTAAAACATGAGTTTAGTGGAAATTTACTGTGGTCCCCTCACCAGACTTATTGGGAAGGGACAGTGGAAATGAGCATTCAGACAAATGATCAGAGGGTGTTCACTCAAAGACACAGCCTTGTGCAAGATATTTCTATATTCTTAAGAACTTCATTACCTTTTGATTTACTTCTTTGAGAATTACACATCTATGCCAGTCACCCTGAGACCTTTAAAATGATACTAAACACATTATTAAGATAATTATTCACATTAAAACCTTATAAATTCTTGTGTGAGTGATCTCTGCAAGAGTGGGGGATGCGGGGTGTGTGTGTGTGTGTGAGAGAGTTGTTCACATGTTAATTTGCAAGCAATGTCCTTCGTTCTCACAGTTTCCACCAGTTTCCAGTTTTTCCTGTCTTAGAGACCTATTTGATAGCTCTGTTTGAGGAATAATGTTATTCTATGATTATTTATACACTATCAAAACGTTTTATTCAATTTTTCAAATCGGTCTGATTGGAAATTCAAGGTCAGTTTTGCTGATTCATTGATCTGATTGCAGCAGTTAACAGCTTACTACAGTGGATAAAGAATAACATTTTGTTCTTTTCATCAAACAAAGAGTTGTATGAACCACTTTTATGATACTCTCATTGTAAAATCCCATCCTTTTTAAAGCTTGTAACTGGATCCAGCACATTCTTCTTCTTTTGTGTTCCACAGAAGAGAGAAAGTCGGTGAACTAGTCATGAAATTGACCTCTGAGTGTGTGTTTGTATGTGGGGTTCAATTCTTGCAGTTCATTCACACTTATTAGGTCCTCTTAATAGGCATTTTTTTATGATTATCCGTTTGAAAAGATTGTCCATATATCATATTCTTTCAATAAATTGCATTAGTGCTGTTTGAGATGAAGTGTCACAGTAATAGCTTGAGATACCTTGAGCCTCACGATAATTTTCCTCGGAAAAATTAGCCCTAGTCTTCTGTGCCACCTCCTCTGTCTCCTGCGAGTATTTCCTCATTGGCATTCCCAGTGTGCTAATGTTTGACTCTGTTCCCACGTCTCTAAAAGACTCGTCTGGTCACACGTCTCGCCTGTCTCCAAGGGAGACCGCAGTTGCCGATGGCAATCGTGTTTGGGAGGGAGGTGGTTGACATGAGCTTGGCACCCATGGACCAGATTTGCAACATTTTCAATCAATTGCGCTAGAACGAGGCGAGAAAAATCAATGAATCTCTTTTTTCCCCCTAATCCGTTCAAGGCCAAAAAAGGATCAAATCCAGAAAGCCAACATACTCAGGGCAGGATTAAGAGGGTGATGCCTCAACAGTTTGCGAAGCCTTGAAATGTAGCGTGGCGCGGTAACGAAGCGTCTCCAGTGGTTTAAGATCTCTATAGCGACAGAACATATAGGCCTCAAAGGGCTGCAAACTCTGTGAAATTAGATTAGGACACAGACATAGACAGACTTGCATTTCACTGTTCGTCCCAGCTCACCCTCTTTTACGCACTTCTGCCACAAACAGAAGAGCAATGTCAAATGCATCCTTTTAACAATGGAAAAGTTCTATGTAGAAATGGCATCTGAAAGTCATACATTATTTTTTCTACAAAGAGGCTTTTGAAAGAGATTCACATTCAAAGCACCTCAAAATAGTTACTTTAGGCATCCTGAATGACACTCTGACAATGTTGGGTGGATTCAGATTGATTTGGATACTTTCCTAGTCATTTCAAGGACAAAAAGTGTCTCAATCAACCTGAATTCACCCTATTTGTGAACGACTTTGCTGTCCGTGGTGCTGAAATGTGACACGGAAGTGCATGCAAGTCCTCCATTAGGATCTGATACTAGGATCTGTTGTTCTTGAAGATAGCAAAAGGTGCCTAAGACATTCTGAAAGTCATACCCAACTTTTAGTTCAACATTTGTTGTGCTGTTCTAATCAAGACTGTTATTACTTGTGGTCTGAGACTTTAGGGGCACACACTGTCCTTTGGGAACTTTAAGCATAATTACATTGAAAATTGACTTCCCTGTCATCTGTCAACATCATCTAAACCCTCAATAAATGGAAAGGAAGCTTGCTCGCCACCTTTAATCTAAAGTCATTCCTCGTTTGTAAATTATATTCATATATGTGTAAACAAGTAAAAGAGAGTCAAGAGAGGCCTCAGCACAACAATGCTGTAAGTTTAATTCAGTTTTTTTTTTTTTTTTTATTATTCCTTAAAGGGACAATGTGTAGGTATTTATCATCTAGCGGTGAAAATGTATTTTGCATTCAAACGAATTGTGCTCTCCGGCGCCTCGATTTTTCAAATGCGTGTTGCATCTACAGTAGCCATTATGTACCAAAAAGCTATGACAGGATGTCTTCTAATAGCACTTTGTCGAGTGTTCCTTTGGGTGAACAGGTTTGTTATTTCACACAAACAGAAATATGTAAGGGTACATGAATTATCATGAATTCATGTATAAATTCATGCATGAATTATGCATTCATTCATGCATTAATATCTGCATTAATAGTTGTTCATTCTCATAAATGAACAACACCTTAATTAAAACATTAACTAAGATGAGCACATCATCATGAATAATGATTTATTACGCATGATCATGATGTTTTCTTTGTTCTCTGTCTAGGTCAGTGACCTAGTCACCACTTTAGTTGAGGGGCCACACACATGATGAAGTCATTAATAGATCATTCTTAATTAATGATGACGTATTTGACGGATACAGCTCATAGCACACAAATCAAATACAGAAGTATATAAAGATAATAAATTCTTCGTTTACGAGGATAAGTCAGATAATTGGCAGAGGTATTTGTACACCATTGAGGACATATTTGTCAATAAAAACATTGATTTTAAATAATAAAATACATAAAAAGTACACATTGTCCCTTTAATAAAAGTAAAGGCCGTTAATGTTTAAGGAAGGTTAAAAGGATGAATTGAGTGCTGTTTGTTTTTATCACACTGTGATAGTGAATGTTTGCCTCTTTTCAGTAATGGCTTTTAAAGCTTAATAAAGCTTGTGTGTCCAATGGCACTCTTTTTTTTCTTTTTTTTGTTTGTTTTTTTAATCATTTTCAATAACATTATTAAACTAAATTTGCCAACCTTGATAATAGCTTAAGTGCATCAATTAAAGTGTTTGTTTTTAGCACATAAGTTCTATGTTTGCATTGATTATGGAGTTTCAAAATAATTGAGCAATTTTGTTTTCGCTTGACCTGTTTTTTTTTTTTTTTTTTATTACTCTGAAATGGATTAATCTCAGAATTAATACAAAAGTGATTGAGTTTATAAATTTGATTAATTAATGAAACTTAATACAAAGATTGAGAGACAGTTTTGGTCATTGAATGTGATTTGAAATATTGGTCTGGAAAGAGAGAGACAAGAGGCAGTGGGGAAAAATGACAGATGTGAGAAAGATTAGTTGAAGAATCAGTGACTCTAAATGCGAATGTACAACTGTGCATGTCTGATGGGTTCGGTAAGGCAGTTTTCTCATGTACGGCTGTAGAAATTAATGACCAGCAGCACTCAGCTTTCTGCTTCACTTACTCCAGCTGGAAAGTTTACAAAACACTAAAGCTCTCTTCATTTGTTTCACTTCATGTTTCTCTTAATGCTTTTCATTTTAGTTTATCTGAGTGCTTTTATCTTTATACCAAGGTTATAGTCTTATGGACAACTTCAGCAAAGATTTTCCTGTATTTTTTTCCTCAGCTGTGTCCACTCATATGGAGGGTGATGAGAAGATTCAGGTTTTACTCATGGTTGAGCGAGGAAGGTACAGTGAACTGGACACCTTACTCAATATCAGCAGCACAGTCTTTTATGTTGCATTATGAGGTTTAAAGTAGTAGTTCACTTTTAAAATAAAACTTTTACTGATAATTTACTCACCCCCATGTCATCCAAGATGTCCATGTCTTTCTTTCTTCAGTCGAAAAGAAATTAAGGTTTTTGATGAAAACATTCCAGGATTTTTCTCCATATAATGGACTTCAATGGGAACCAAATGGTTCAAGATCCAAATGAGAGTTTCAGTGCTGCTTCAAAGGGCTTTAAACGATTCCAGACGATGAATAAGGGTCTTATCAAGCGAAACAATCGGTCATTTAAAAAATAAATAAAAAAGTTTTAGTTTTATACGCACAAATGCTCGCCTTGCTCTGTTCTGTGATGCACGTTCGTGACTTTCCTGTTCAAACTCGTTTATCAAAATGAACAAATCTTTTTTCGAGTCATGACTCGAAGGGTCCTAGATAAGACACTTATTCATCATCTGGTGTCGTTTAAAGCCCTTTGAAGCTGCACTGGAACTCTCATTTGGACCTTGAACCGTTTGGTTCCCATTGAAGTCCATTATATGGAGAAAATCCTGTAATGTTTTCATCAAAAACCTTAATTTCTTTTCAACTGAAGAAAGAAAGACGTGGACATCTTGGTTGACATGGGTAATTTAACATGAGTAAATTATCAGCAATTTTTTTTTTTTTTAAGTGAACTACTCCTCTAAAGGCGAAATCTGGTCAACTTTAACATTTAGCTCATTTTTTGTACATTTGGAGTCCTGTCAGTACAGACAAAAACGACAAAAATCGCTGTTCCCTATACCGTGTTATCGTCTTTTTAAAATTCGCACCCTGTTGACTTCAATGGGGCAAGTTCTAAACCTGCTTTTAGCCTCTTAACATCCTTGATTTGTCATTACGAGTGCACAGCCATGTGAGTGATGTTATTAAGAGTGACCACAGTCAATCTGACTGCAGTAGACTTGAAAGATATTAATAAAAATGATGTTAATTCAGCCAGCTCACATACCCTTATTATTACAGTACTATTTTACAGTACTGTTTTTAACTATATGTTTATAAATAAATGCAGCCTTGATGCAACATAAGATACTTTTCAAAAACATTTGAAAAAATCTTACTGACTCCAAACTTTTGAACAATAGTGTACAGTGTCTTTTTGAATCATATTTTAATTTGTAAATGTGGTGTTGTTGTTTTTTTAAACTCAGAACTGTGTACGTACATGGCATAACCAAGCAGGACTTTGCTCTGTGGCACTCTTCCATTCAGTTGGCAGCTAGGACGGACGGTATGGCTCTCTGCAACCAGCAAATGAATAAAAATGATGTTCCTATAATTGTGGATAGCTGCATTGCTTTTGTCACCCAGTATGGTAAGTTGTTTATATTCCCATGAGATCTAATAATTTGTATTTCATTTTCTATTTTTTTTTTTTTAAATGTGTACTGTTATCTAAAAAATAAACAAGAAGACTATCAATACTTGCAAATGAGTATCACAATTTTATTAGCAATGTTTCGGTCTCACGACCTTCATTAGGCATATATAACTATTCCAACTTAATTCCATTTAAACCAAAGCATTAGTGAGCAAAAGAGTTCCACTAGAAGAAAAGATGTCAACGGCTCATTTGCGGCTCATTTAATATCTTCGAATCACGATGTGAACTGTTTGGCATTTTTGTTGGGATTTTTACCCTTCAGACTTTATTACCTAGGGCTATGAATGATGAAGCATTATTTAATGTGATGTTATAAAGTTCATGTTATTATTATTATTTTTTTTCTCTCTATCTTTGATATTATGACTATTTATGTTTGTAAGTATTTATGATGATGTGGTCTTAATTATGTATTCAGTCTCATTGAGCTTAATTGGTTACAAATAGATCTTTATGGTGATTGGTCATGTGATCATTTTAAATGGGATTGAATTTGAATAATTGTATATGGCTGATGAAGGTCTTGAGATCAAAACATTGCTAATACTTTTTTATACTCATTTGCAAGTATTGATTGTGTTCTTTGGTGTTTTTCTTTTTTCTTTTTACCTACCATTTGGTCACTACCTATCACCTACAGGTACCGTTATCTCGCAAAGCTCTTACCTGTGATCATTCCTCTCAGGTTTGTGTTATGAGGGAATCTACCAGAAGAACGGTGACCCGGGGCGTGTGGCCCAGCTCCTGCATGGGTTTACCAAGGATGCTCGGGTTGTTAAGCTACGGGCTCAAGACCACCGGCTAGAGGATGTCACAGACACACTCAAGAGCTTCCTGTCTCACAGTGAAGATGCTTTATTGGCTAAAGAGCTGTACCCTTTTTGGATCTCTGCCCTTGGTAAGTGCTGCCAACCACTTAATCTGTTCCTGTGAACGAGCATTAATTTGTGTTTAATTGTAGATAAAACTACTTTAAAATCCAATTGGCTCTTATGGAATGTGCATTCAGTCGTTCTTTACCATTAACTTCGCTATTCTTCACGTACTTTACTGTAAGTACGGATACCACAATGACAGTTTCATGTAAACTACACTGATACTAGTGAGTTTCGAATGTGGCCTACACAATAATTAACTCCATTTTTAGGAATCTACTTAGGATTTACTGGGGTGGTGATGGCGCAGTGGGTAAGACACATGCCTTTGGTGTGAGAGACCCGGGTTTGAATCCGCTGTGAGACACCAATGTGTCTCTGAGCAAGACACTTAACCCCTAGTTGCTCCAAAGGCGTGCAACCTCTGACATATATAGCAATTGTAAGTCGCTTTAGATAAAACCGTCAGCTAAATGAATAAATGTAAATGCACTTAGGACTTTCTTCACCATCAAATCTTTTCACCTTGTGTTTGTCGCACCAATGTTTACACTTGTTTTTTTGTCTTTGTCAGTCTTTTGGCTTTAGATATGTTCTGCTTCTTCAGCCATATATAGTGATTCTCCCATTGTCTCTGCTGGTAAAGCACAATAATAAATGTGTTCCATTGTGTCATTTCACTCTTTGCATGGCTAAAAATCTACTACACTCTGTAGCGTATCTACAGAGGCGTCAGCCAATGAACATGAGGATTCTCTGTAATTTCAACACACCAAAAAAAAACAAAAAACATCGAGGTGGTGACCCGGATCATTTATAATCAAAACAATTATAACTATAGAAAATTACCTTGAGTGCAGTCTCATGTGAGTGTACAACATTCAGATGATTGATCACAAAATCAATTTATTTCTTAATGTATAATACTTCAATCAGCACCAAACTACTGAATACACCTTTAAGGGTCTTGTCTAATAGTTTTTTTTTGTTGTTACATTTTTCAGGTTCTATCCTGCCATTTGTGTAAAATGCAAACCAGTTACACAGTATATTTCTACATTAAAGGGTTGGAAGTGAAAGGGTTCTGTCGTTAATTATCATGTTGTTTCACATCAGTAAGATCTTTCGTTCATCTTTGGAACAGAATTTATGACATTTTAATGAAATCTGAGTGTTTTCTGTTCCTTCCTCCATAGAGATCCAAAGCAACTACCACTTTTATGGTCCAGAAAGGTAGTAAAGACATCAGAGGAGTAATCCAATGGTTTAACCTTAATTTTATAAAGTGACGCGAGTGCTTTGTTTGCGCAAAAAAATATAAATATATATTTTACAAAATAATGTTCTCCAAAGCATTCATGCAACAATGGCAGCTCCGGCACGAACACAAAATTAATGCGTTGTGGTGCTCTTGTGACCACGACTTTCAGATCAATATTTTTATAAATAAACTGGTAAATTATGGGGGTTTTTGTGCAAACGAAGCACTCGTGTCACTTCGTAAAATTGAGGTTGAACCACTGGAGTCAAATGAATTAATGATGTCTTTGATGTCCTTACTACCATTCTGGACGTTGAAAGATTGGACGTTGCATTGGATCCCTATGGAGGGACAGAAACCTCTCAGATTTCATTAAAAATATCTTGATTTGTGTTCCGAGGATGAACAAAAGTCTTACGGATGTGGAACGACAGAAGGATGAGTAAATTATGACAGAATAAAATTTTTGGGTGAACTATCAGTTTAATGAGTGTTTGTTGTCCATGAATCCAGATGAACAGGACGAGAAGATCAGAGTGCAGAAATATTCATCCTACATTCAGAGTTTACCAAAGGTCAACAGGTCAACTCTTGGTGCCCTGTTGCAGCATTTGTACAGGTATTTTCTTCTTTTCGCAACAACAACAGTCTGCGATAACATCCTCTCAAGCCAGTAACAATTCCAGTTGGTATTTTGTTGATGTTTGAAATCTGGTTAAATAGCTCACGGTAAACATGGCCACTCCAAACCCTCACTGGGTATGTCAGATTGCTTGAAATGTTCCTGTAATGACTGTAATTGTTTGAAGAAGGCTTAATTGGCCCTTTTGGCATATTTGGAGTGTAGCCTAACATTTCCCTCATGATGTACAATAATCGTTTTGTTGTCTTCAGGTCTACACAGCATTTGCACCTGCCTGTTTTGTTGTGGTTGCTTATATAAGGTTTCATTTAAATCTACTCACTTCCTGTCACAGCTTTAATGAAATCCTTAAAGTTGTGCACACAATAACACCATGCCAACAAAAGAGGGCTCATTCAGTAAATTCAGAAGTGTATATATGCATTTACTTGTATGGATGGTGTGTGTTTACTCATTTATGATGTATGTAGGTCTTTTTTCCAGCAGTATTCAAATATTTATGCACATATATTACGTCTGTACAGGATCCAGAGGTGCTCGCACATCAACCAGATGAGCACGCAGAAGCTGGCATGTGTTTTCTCCTCGTGCCTGTTTCAAACCGAGGGACACACGGCTCAGGAGACCCGCGTGGTGGAGGACCTCATCAACAATTACATCCAGCTCTTCTCTGTGAGTTAAACATGTGTCCTCTCTCAGGATTTAGACCTAGTTGATCTCTGTCTATTGGTTCCCGAGGGCCTGCTAAATGTGAGACTGCTCCTTCTCTCGTATTCATAGCATCATATTCGCGGTATGAGAGCCAAAATACATTTTCACAGCGCTGTTGTTATGATTTCACAGGTGTGTGGTGTTAATTAATTATTTATTCCGTTATAACCCTTTTGTTAGTACACGTGAGAGTTGATTTAGTTATTATGGTTCTGCTTCATTAGTAGTCTCTTACAGAAGAATCTGATCCTGATGCAAGAAATAGTATCTTGTCAATTGTAATTATTGCTCATGAAAATACATGACTGATGAACAACAGGCCTGTCTGTGTCGAACCCTCATTTGAAGAGGGCGATATCATACTGGCAAGCTGTGGCTGTTTACCCATTACAGAGTATATGACAAAATCCATGGTGCTATGAACAGTGAAAAGCATTTCCATTCAACACCACGAAATGCGCAGCTCTAGTATAAGTGTGTGAAGAAGGGGGCGTTGTTCGTGTTGCACTTGGACGCTTGCCTCTGTAATGGGATTTACAGTGCTGCGCTGTGCTAATTCCCCTCTCAGCACGCTCATACTTTCATAGTTCCCCTGGCTTCACACATACATGCACTTGTACTTTTTGAGAGAAGGAAAGATGGAGAGTGTGTGAAACGTGAAGTTTTGTTCGACAAATAGCCATAATCTAGAGAAGAATATTGGAAATTCCAGTGAAGTAACGGCGCATAACATGACATGCAGGTGAAAATGAAGTTTACTATACACATTAATGTGTTTTGTTTTTGTTACAAATGAGCCATTTTCTCAGTTTTTTTTTTGTCATTCTGCAAAGTAAATATCTCAATTTTATCAATGTAACCTATTTCTCCACAGTCTTTCTGATTATATATATTTCTAACTAAATAATTTTAAAATGCTATATTATTTTGTCTACATACACTACCGTTTAAAAACTTTTTTTTCAAGAAATTAATACGGATTTAACCTCAAGGAGGAGTTAAATTTATCAAAAGTGGCAGTAAATACTTTATTTAAATGATCTATTTCAAATCAGTTCTGTTCTCTAGAATCTTCTATTCATAAAATAATTCTGAACAAATGTATCATGGTTTACACAACTATTAAGCACCACTAATGTTCTCAACATTGATCATATAAAATGTTTCTTGAGCAGCACATCAGCATATTAGAATGATTTCTGAAGGATCATGTGACACTGAAGACTGGAGTAATGATGCTGAAAACTTAGCTTTGTATATTACATTTTAAAATATATTCACATAGAAAACAATATGACTATTTTTACTAGATTTCTGATCAAACGAATGCAGCCTTGATGCAGAATAAGAGGCTTTAGTAATGTTTTATTTTTTTTCTCGTGCTTTTTGTTCAATGCATTATAAAGGTGTTCATAATGTATATGTTATAATGCATTAGATTTTCATAAATAATTAACCAAAGTTAAAATGCATGAATATTCAAAGATTCCTTAATGCATTATACGTTCTAATGGTGCATTTTAATGTATTATAACTGTGATTACCATCGATGATACCATTCAATGCATTATAAGGTGCAACAAGCTATAAGGCTTAAAGTGAAGTGTTACAGAGACTTCTTTTAAAATCATTACAACATCTTACTGACCCCAAACGTTTCAAGAGAAATTAAATAAAACATTTGATAAATGTAAATTTGCTTTGAGGTGACATTTAACTGTGCGAGTAGTATTTTGAAATATAGCTTTTAGTGAGCATTAGATGATGGCAAAGGTAATCTAAATGTACAAAAGGGTAAATGAACGTTTAAAGTTAAAAATCTACTTCAACTTTTAAGTTTCTGATGTGCCATTTTAAACAAGTCATCTTATGGGGTGCATTTTGAGTAGTCGAAATGGCCTGACTTTGCTGTTGGGGATTTGAGCGGGTCTGTTTACTGTGCACAGGGGCTTTAATCTCTGTTTATCTGTGTGGGTCCATTAAAACAGGTCAATGAAGAGCAGGTTAGGCAAATGGAGAAAGAAAACAGCTTTATCACCAGGTGGAAGGATACCACAGTAAGTCACCCCTTTTAACCTTTCCGTTTAATAGGTGCTGGTGTGAGAGATTTTTAGCATGATGTTACAGTCCATAAATGTGTGTGTTTAGCTTTTAACCAGTTTGTGTTTGCATATATGTGTGTACGTTTTCACAGGTCACATAATCACTTTGACCTGTATTGGTATTGTTTTGAGCAAATTAGAGCAAACGTCAAGCTCTTTGTGCTACCTAACCTTTCCGTCTCCTGCTTTATACCTTTCTGGCACCACAAGGAACAATTTGTTCAGATAAGCTGAAAACAAATTAATCTTCCTTTGTTTGCTGCTGTCCAAGTTTAAAAAGTTTCTGTGTATTTGTTCAAGTTGGGGCAAGGACAGTGTTTGAACTGATCCATGGAAAAATCTTGAAGCATTTGGAAATTCGGTTACATTTTACAATAAGGTTTCATTAGTTAATATGAACTAATAATGAATAATGAACTAATAATGTTAATTTCAACATTTACTAATCCATTATTAAAATCAGCAGTTGTATTTGTTAACAGTAGCTAATGCACATTATTCTAATACACATTTAATACACATTATCCCTTCATATTAGCTAAGATGTTTTTTCTCAAGTATTTACAGATAATAATTTCTGCTCAGTTTTAATAATTTTGTTATTTATTAAGATTTAAAGGAGTTTTACTTTTTTTAAAAAACTTTTGCTGATAATTTAAGTCTTTAAATGACACCAGACGATGAGTAAGGGTCTTATCTAAAAAAGGTTTGTTCATTTTGATGAACGAGTTTGAACAGGAGAGTCATGAACGCTCATCACAGAACAGAGCAAGGCAAGCATTTGAGCTTATAAAACTTAAACTTTTTTATTTATTTTTTAAATGACCGATGGTTTCGCTTGATAAGACCCTTATTCATCGTCTGGTGTCGTTTAAAGCCCTTTGAAGCTGCACTGAAACTCTCATTTGGACCTTGAACCATTTGGTTCCCATTGAAGTCCATTATATGGAGAAAATCCTGGAATGTTTTCATCAAAAACCTTAATTTCTTTTCGACTGAAGATAGAAAGACATGGACATCTTGGATTACATGGGGGTGAGTAAATTATCAGCAAAAGTTTTTTTTTTAAAAAGTGAACTATTCCTTTAAGGTTCTGATTTTGCATTTTCTCCAATAAAAACAATAGTTTGCCATTTTTGGCATATTAATTAAGTTATCTTTTTATGTTTAATTAAACCATTTTAAGGCCCTTAGGCCCCAGTGGGTCCGGGCCCCCTGGTCGGGAAACACTTCTTTAAATTAAATGGTCTGTGAGAAACATGTATTCGGCCTATTATGTCCAAACATTTGGCTGGTACTTTACCTTGGGTACAAAAATAACCATGTTTTGCTGTATGAAACAGAATATCTGAATAAGAGTGTTTATACACTGTTCTTATAGAATGTTACAGTAGCGTATATGTCATTTACGCTACATTTAAATACATTTTGCCAAAGCAGTTTAGAGAGGAAGCTTTAATCTCTGGTTTACATGAGCTAAGATGTTTGCCAGCTTTTGTTGTGTAATGCGGCTAAATGATGTGTGGGACTCCAGCTGTGTGTCATTTAGTCAGACACACACAAACGTTTCTTTCTTTCTTTCTTTCTTTCTTTCTTTCTTTCTTTCTTTCTTTCTTTCTTTCTTTCTTTCTTTCTTTCTTTCGTCTGTCTGTCTGTCTGTCCATTTATATGAATTAAAGGGATAGTTCACCCAAAAATGAAAATTAGCCCATGATTTACTCACCCTGAAGCCATCCTAGGTGTATATGACATTCAGATGAATACAATCAGAGATATATTACAAAATGTCCTGGCTCTTCCCAGCTTTATAATGGCAGCGAATTGCTTTTTTTTTTTGAAGTCCATAAAAGTGAATCTATCCATCATATACGAACTCCACATGGCTCCGCGGGGTTAATAAAGGCCTTCTGATGTGTAGCGATGAGTTTGTGTAAGAAAATATATCCAAATTTAAACCTTATAAAGTAAAATAACTGAGAGTAATGCAACATACTGCGGATATTTACGCTACGCCATGATGAACTGTGCTACTTCCGACGTCACAAGTTTGGGCGCAAGTAGATTGGGCGCAAGTAGATTTCTTACACAAACTCATTGTTTCGCTTCAGAAGGCTTTTGTTACCTCCCCCCGGAGCCGTGTGGAGCACTTTCATGATGGATAGATGCACTTTTATGGACTTCAAAAGAGGAACAGCCATTCACTGCCATTATAAAGCTTGATTGAGTAAATCATGGGCTAATTTTAATTTTTGGGTGAAGTATCACTATAAGATCACAATAAGTATGTATTTAAATCTTAAGTCTTTAGTGTTTTGTCTCTCTGTATGTACCTGTGTTTGCAGTTCTCTCCTGCTGGTGACCTGATATTTGAAGTCTACGTGGAAAAAAAGGAGCCAGAGAAGTGCTGTTTAATCAAGGTTTGTTTCCCTTTCTCGCTCTCTGTGGTGTGTGTGTGACTGTCTGGCTGTCTGTGTGTCTGAACCTAGAGGGTATTCTGCCACAGACTAAATCAAACTGCAGTTAATCAAAGGCATGTTTGATTTAATTGTGAGAGTAATTGTGTTTTATCAGTATTCAAGATAAACCTCAGTTAATAGAGGTTGTTTCAGTGTGTTTTTTTTTTTTTTTGCTCTTGACACTTCTCTGATATCTTTTTTCCTATTTTCCTTCAATTTTCCTCCGGCAAATGTAGATAAATCCTTTTGAACAAGGAAATGAAGTCTTGAACATTTAAGAGACACTGACAAAAACTTGATACTGATGTCTGTTTCTATAAGGTGTCTCCCAGTATGAGGTCAAATGAGCTTGCCGTCTGCACTCTGGAGATGAAGGGGAAGGAGGTCAAAGCTCAAGATCTCTGGACCACTTTTGAGGTCATTGAGAATGGAGAGATGGGTAGGGTTACAATGTCGTTAAGTCTTACAAATACACTAGAAACAATTGAAATCAAAACGCGAGTTTAACTTATGAATGAGTTATTTTTTTTTTTTACATATTATTAGAGAATTTGTCGATGTTCCTTCTAAAGCCTACACACACATTAAAATGCAAAAAGTGAATGAGCATGATTAGTACTATTATTATTTCATGGTGGTTATTATGAGAAACTATTAACAGATTGTGATGGCATTGGTGGAGGGGGAGACAGGTGGTGCAAGAGCGATTTTTGCCAATAGCAAGCATTGTGTTTTTCTTTTTACAAATTACAACTTGATAATGGATCTATTTTGCACTTGAGTGTGTTTTCTAATCATAGTCAGATTGGCTGGTGATAATTGCAAATTTGCACTATATAATTATGCTTGTGTGGAGGACAAACCGAAAGCAAAAACAGTTTGTTAGAGGGTGGTGATGACGAGAAGGATTCTTTTTGTCTCTCTCTTTACATTATCTGTGAGGTTTTTGTATTTTCAAGTGAAGTGATGTAAGAATATACAGTCTTATTACAGATATACAGATGATTTTTTTGAGATTCTAGAGTCTTTTAAAAGTTTTTAAATCTTTTTGGCCAGAAACATACTCTACACATGTACACAAATGCCCGTCCACTGCATTTCAACAATACGTACTTGTATGAATAGTACGTATAGTATGAATAGTACGTACTTGTACGAATAGTATGAATAGCCCTGACACTTTTTTGCAGCACAATGAAGTGTGAAATCGAGCTTGCGCAGCTGGAAGCGTTTGTTCACATTTTTCATAGTGTATGTCCCTGGCCTTTCTATTTCGTGGAGTCACAGTCAATTTTGAAACAAATCAGATGGAGATTTGCATTCACTTATCCTACCTATCATTTCTCAGAGCGGCCCTTACACTACAAAGAAAGGATTCTGGAGCAGGTATTGGAGTGGAGCTCTCTGGAGGATCCCAGCTCAGCCTTCCTGCTCATTAAGAAATACTCTGGTTCTAGAATGACAGATTCCAACTCAGGTACCAACAATGAATTTCTTAATGCACCCTAGCAGATCGCTCCAAACTATAATTAACAAATGAAACAACTATATGCATTGGAGCCACATTCAAAGATCAGCTCCTGGTTATGCTTAGAACAGTGTTTGATTTTATTATATATCAGATTTGTCCAGCCTTGACAATATTTAGCATGTCTCAGTATATATGTATTTTATTGAGTAAGTGAACACAAGGAAGAAGGATATTGTCTATTCAATATTTTTCATTTTTATGCATCAATAAAACGGTACAGTTCACATATTTTTAGTAAAATACTAAAATGAACATTTTCAGATGAGGACCAAAACAAAATGTTGAATTAGAGTGAAACATTTTAGGACTGATTCCTGGAAATTAATCAGAATAGACGTTAAAGCCTTTTTTCGCTAGTGAGGTTTATATACCGGTAAGCAACAACGCCATTAAAACTGTAGACATCTGTCTTATGTTTATTTTAATAATGGAGCATCCCACATGGGGATTCTCGTGAACATTTTTCAGTGATTACGGTTACGCTAATAAATCACTGAATTCAGGGTTTAAAATTGATTAACTGGCCATCAAAATCATTGTGAATGTATTGTGAATATTTGATAAATCACCCAGTCTTAGTTACTACCAGTCATAAAGTTTTCTGATACTGGCCTCATTTTATAACTTTTTACAGTCTCAGTACCAATTTCCTGATGAATTTTTCACTCTTGATGATGAATGGTGTACTTGCAGAAAGTAAAGCAGAGAGTGCATTTATGCTCTTTTTCGGTTTCCTATTGAAACCATCGGTAACGGAAGAAATCCTAATTTTGTACCTGCGCTGAGTAATAGCTTCTCTGCATGCCTCACTAAAGATATTAATATATATTAAGCAGTGTTATGCAAAGGTTTATTCATTTGCCAGGATGTGTAATTGCTAGACTCGCAAATGTGTGAAGCTGAAAATGTGTTGCTGTGGAGATTTCAACTTTAACATTTTAAAACTGTATGACAGTTAGCATAGCGTGGTGCAATCCAACAGTATATATTACAGTTTGTATGTTCGGTGTCTCATAAATAGTTTATAGTATGACTCAATATTTTTTCTGTGTGTTCTTCTGTGTTTGGGACAGATAAGCTGAAAGATTTCATTAAAGGAGAGCAACTCAAATTCAAAGATGGTTCCTCCAAACTGCTATTGGGGAATAAGTTTCAGGACCGATACCTGGTTCTACAAGACAAAAAACTGCTGTTATACAAGGACATAAAAGTATGTCTCTTACATTTTCATTTTTTAATTCCAAGTCTCTTTCTTTTAACAACTCAATTGTTCTGTCGGGTCTTTCAGTATCTCTGCTCATGGTAATATTTTAATATCTCCATCCCCACTGTTCATCAGGATCAACCTCTACTCAGCATTGCTCCTCGCCAGCAGTCCATCAGCAGTTGCCAGTTTACCAAATTAGATTTTCCAGCATGGCATTTTATATTACATCTGTTTGTTTTCTTAGCATGCATTTACAGATGAAATAGTAATTAAAAAACACAGCGGATGTGAAATTACCTGCTTTGGGCCAATCGCAGGGGCCCACTTGTAATAAGCGTGGAAGAAGAAAAATTGGAAACAAATAGACCCATAATGGCTATTTTAATTTAGAATTAAAGTAATGTGGGACGTATACCCCCTGAAATGAGTACAGTGATGTAAACAACTGCAGTCTGTTAGGTTTTTCTTCTCCTCATACTTTACTTTATTCATTCCGTGCGCATGCCGATCTGCTCTTCCTCGGGGGCACATGCTCCGTGAGCTAAGACACAGTCTCCTAAAGTGTGCAATATGTGTTAATAACTGATATTTGAGCAAAGTGTGAGGACGTGTGTGTGTGTGTGTGTATGAGTGAGAACGGGAGGGAAGGCGGAGAGGCGAAGACACTCTGAATGAAGGCTGTTCTTTCTTTAATTAGTGTAATTTCTGTCTGCTGCAGAATATTCAGCTAATTATCAAGTGAAGAAGGTGGGAATTAGCTGTGAAGCAGAAATTTAATTGATATTCTGATGCCTTTGTTTTCGGTTTCTTGCAAGTTAGGATCCTCAGTTAGATCTCATTTTGCCGTCGTTGATGTGCTCGCCTATGCCGCTCGTGTTTTGCAGTGCATTACATACAGAGTACATTACTTCAAGGCAACAACAACAGCGTTGTCGGCACATGCTAGTTTACACAGTGCCCTTGGGCTCCCAACAGCTGTAAACAGGAAATTGCCGTTTTCCCCCTTTTGATTTAAGTGAATGAGCTGGGGGAAATAAAGCAGTTTTTTTTTTTTTCTTTTCAGCATACAGCATGTTAACCAGTTTTAGTTTAGAAAGGTTTTGAACATTAACCCTATAGTAAGTACATGTAGTTCATTAATTAATATTACTCAGTACTTAAATGTGTTATTACACTGTAACACCGTAACCCATTATTACATACATAATATATGTAGATAGAATATTATTTAAAATGAAAGCTCTGTTGATTTTGAAACATGTGCCATTGTTTCCACAGAGTACCAAGCCAGAAAGAGAGGCTTCATTAAAGTCAATTAAATGTTACTTAGGGCTACGAAGGAAGTTGAAACCAACAAGCAGGTAAATGGTCTCAAGTATTTATCTAGTGCTATACCACACACAAAAAAAGCAGTTATTCTCTTCTTACATTTAGCAAAAATGTTACCTATTTCATCTTGCTCAAGTTCATTGGCAAACTGGTGCCTTTTGTAACAAACCCTCTTTATAATCCTTATTTTAATCCACGTAGAGCCCACAAACTATCTTACGAAACAAGTTATTCAAAATTAGTGCTGCCACTTTGAAAGACAAGACATATTAACATCCCTACATGTGTAATTAAGATCAATTCATAAATGTTCTGACATTAACTCTAGGTTCATGTCTAAATGAGCTCCTAGTTCAATATTAATATGTATCTTTTGTGCCAAACACGCAGAACAGCTTGGTTTAGTGCCAAATGCCCCCCTCAGAAACAAGACTATCACAGTCAATCCGAAAGCAGATTTATATCTCACAATTACAAAATTCATTAAGCGTAATTTAGCAAATACACTGTACTGTGTTTTTCTCTCTCCTACTGGGAAAATTGTTAACTGTGGATTTGTTTCATTTCAGTAATGTTGCGTTTTTGTAATTTATGGCTGTTGTGTAATTTATGAGTGCGCTGAAGTCTTTGTTGCTAATGATCATTTATTCATAATTTTCCTTGTGAATGTATCCACGGCATGATGTTTACAATAGCATTTTATCCCAAATGACTTCCAATCTGTTCTCGCATGTTATTTGTTACATTGAGGTATCGGCATGCAAACTATTTAGCTTTTTTTCAGTCTGAGGGTGTTTCGTCAAATGTAGCACACTAGTTCCTGCAGACGTTTAAAAAATAAACTCTCTTAGGCCTTGTCCACACTAAGGGGCCATTCACACAGAAAGTGAGAGAGACAGCACTCAGGAATGGTTTAAAAAAGCACAGCGAAGAACATGAGCGTCTCGAGATGCACTTTTGATATGTGATGCAATAACCGAAATAACAGGAATAGATAGCTACAGCAGAATATAAGACGTGTTCTGTGTGAACGTCTCCTAAAACGTTTTTGTTTTTAAGCACCTTTCGTCTACACTGAGACAGGTTTTTGTCTGAAATAAGATGAAGCCGTTTGAAAATGTTCTCACTAGTGGATAGCAGTTGTGAAAAGGTTTTTGAAAACGATGACACGTTTAGTCATGTGACGCATATTGTACCCATAGATGGCAGGGGTCGACAAGTGGGACAAGTGGATTTTTTGTAGGACAAGTAGAAGAGAAAATTAAATTTCAAACAAAACAAAATGCCATGTTACTTCACGTTATGTGCCACTCGTAACGTCTATTTTACCGATTTAATTTTACCGATTTGAAACGAGCACATTTTTCGCGCTGCCTGTGAATGTCCTGAATGTGACTCACAGAAAGACGCGCGCCAGTATCTCTCTTTCGCGCTTGAACGAACATCAAAAACACACACAATTAAGCCAAAATGTAATTTGTCGAGTATCTTCATAACATAAGAGCAGTCTTATGATGGACATAAAGAGTTGTGACTCATGAGAAAATGAGGCGCGTGTGAGATCCGCGTCTCTGTCCACAGCTGCGGCTCTTAAAGGGCCAGCTACCAATAAAGCGTTCTGTCAGTAAAGTTAATGAAAGAACAAAGGGAACAGAGAAAATTACTCACTGCTCTTGACTAAAGAACTTGTGTAGCTTTAATAAGGAGTAGTCTATATATAATTTATAATTTATGCAGCGTAGACTGTTTGATAACTTTATTCAATTTCTGTATATGTCCTACCTGTTAGGCAGTTAATTTTTATCCAGACATCAATGGCTTATTGATCATTGTAGGTGTTATCAATCATTTAGTTGTTATTGCTGATTTCAGAATTATCACTAACCTTTGTGTGTGCATTTGGTTTAGAACCAAACAAGTTGACTCATGAAACCATTTGTTTATTATATCGCAAGCGCATATCACAACCACAATATTGACCTCAATAATCGCAATATGACATTTCGTGGACATTCCCCAAATCGTGGAGCCCTAGATAAAATTATAAACCTTTACCCGGACAAGTGACTTTTGTGCATGGACAAGTAAAACATAAATTTACTTGTCCGAAGGACAAGTGCCTCAAAAAGCCCTGGATGGTTATACCGGCATTGTTGTGCCTGCTATGAATTTTCATTGTGTAGCTAAACAGACATTTCCTACAAGAGTCTTCATATTAAATTCCTGCAAAGATGACTAAAAATGTACTCTTAATTACAGTCCTGTGGTAAATCTTGATGACAGTTGTGTTTTAGATCTCATAATTTTGAGTGTGACCTGGACACAACAGTGAGTGGTGGGATATTTCACCAATTAAATGACACCAAAAGGATAGCGTAGGAACTTTATTATATCTGGTCTCTCTGTATCATCTTGTGAGCTTTTATCACGTTTTACGCATGCATAGCAAAGGTGATTTAAGCATTTCGGGCATTTCAGTGTGGATGAGCAACTTTTGAAAAACCCTAGTTTTAAAACGAAAATGCTGTTTTCAAATGTATCTGTATTAAGTAGCCTTAAAACACATCTTCACACAATCACAGGAACCATCATGAATATTCCTACCACAGTGTCTCATGCAGGGAAAAAAAAAACAAGATCAAAAAAAGAATACAACCAAAACTAATTAATAATATGTGGCCATGAATTAAAAACTTGTGGGAACGAATAATTAATCCAACATGGCCACGATTTACCCAAACCAAGGGAATTAATTAATCAAAGGTTGACACCATTTAACTAAAATAAATTAGTATGTGGCCACAAATTAAGTTGTGGGAGTGAATTCTTAATTTGTTTTGTTCATACATTCAATTTTTTATACTCTATGCGCACAATTTGGTGATATTTTTTTTACACTTATGTTACAATTACTGTACAGCTTGATTGGAAACCAAATAACGTGATGTATACGTATCAAATGGAATTGTTGTTCATCTCTGATTTTTTTTCTCTCTTTATTTTCTTGACAAATCATGTTTCATAAGATATCTCAAGCAAGCTCTTCAGAGACAATGTTGTCTCATTGGTACACAGGCACACTAACTTTTGATGAAACTTTAATATCAGCAAAAGTGTTTATTGTTGTGGAAATTAAGTGAAAACAGAAGGCATGAGTAATAATTTATAGAAATCATTTGCACATAATAAATATTGATATGATTTGGTTATTTCATTATTTTTTGAGAAATACTGTTTATACTGGGTTTTCAATGTAAACTAATAAAATCAATACATAAAAGAAATTTGAAAAGTAGCAAAAAGAAAATACAAGTTTAAATGTTTATTTATTTATTTATTTATTTATTTATTATTCAAAAAGCACCAGGGACAAAGTGCCAGAAGTTGAAGAAACACATTATATGTGGAAACTTTTGTGGAAATAACAGCTGTTTTTTTTTAAAGTCACAATCTAAAATGCTGTGTGTGAGGTCAGAAAAGATTTTGAACCATTTAGACCATGAACCATGAATTAAATAAACTAACGAGAAGTAGGTCAGCAAAAAAGTTACATCTGTAAGAGAGTAAAGTATAACAGGGCATGTGGCATTGATATAAATCTCTTACACAAGCAAAATAGGTCATCGTTTCTATTATGCTTGTCTGCTGGCTGTGAAAGTTAAGCTGAATTTAATGGTATCTTAGCACTTTAGAGGTTCTCGAGAGGTCAGACTTTGACACTATCAGGAAAAGGCTGAATATAGTTGTGGAGAATGCTGTGAAACTAATGCAAGACTTTTTGTCGTTTTTCTGACAAATTTTCAACAGTTGGGGATTTACTGTTTATACTGAAAAGCAGCAGTGGTAAGTGCAATTAACTCTGTTCCTAATTGCTCATTCAATCACACGCTTCAGCACTGTTTTTAAATAAAAACATTTAGCTGGTACTGGATAATACCTCCTCTTTTTAATATACCAGCCTGAAACGTACTAAGGTTTTGTACAACTTAGTACTTGAAGTACAGAACTGCATGACTGAATTTCAAATAGGACACTTAAGTGCTTCAGTGTTCTGACTGTATGCATTTTCATCCTCCCTGAAAAAGGTATTTCTGCTGTAAAGGGAATGATTCTCAGCAGGACTGGGTCACCTCCATTATCAGAGTGAAGGTGAGCTTTCTTCTTTCTAAGTGCTGATAATGTGCATTTAACATTGTTAAAAAATGGGCACGTTAAGAGGTTTTCAAATGCAATTTTTAGATGTGCTATTCCACATCTGGAAATGCTTCATTAGTAGCAACCAAAAATGAGGTATTTCTTCCTTCATAAAGTACCATGATATTACCTTTCCCTTTTATTCATTTTTTTTTTTTTTTTTGGACATATAATGTATTCTGCAAAGCACCTTGGAGTACCATAAATACCATGGTACATGAAAATGGTTTACATGGTATTTACATGGTATCAGTGCACTATATTTATAAATATATAGTGCATTATATATATGTATGTACTGTATGTATATATGTATATAATATATGTACATACACACACACACACACGCACATATGTGTGTGTGTGTGTGTGTGTGTTTATATATATGTGTGCTTGCAGATAATAAAATGTTAATTTAAAAACGTACTTAAAGAGAGAACTTTGTGCGCACTTTGTAATAATGTCAAATCAAAAGTTTTATTTTAAAGTACATTTTAAATCTTTGTTTTAATAATCTTTTTGTTGTGCTTTAAACAGTCCACTTATTTTTATGAGAAACATTATAAAGCAAGTGTGGAATACATTATTATAATTTAAACAGTAATGTGATATGCAATATTAAATTCAAAGTTAATATATTTTTAAATGAACAAAATTGCAACTTCGTCGTTACAAATGTGTGATGGCAAATACATCTGAATACAATACAGATATGCTTCAATATAAATTGCAATGAGTCAATACATCCATTAATTCCTGTCAATGCATTTTGCAGGAAAACCATATTTCAGAAACAATATACGTAATTATGAAATTACATATACAGATGTGGGTCAAAGATTAAGCCAATTGTGTTTAATGTAAACGTGTCTGGAAACATTACATTATTTTGCACTTAAGTAATGTAATATTTCCATAATAAGTAATCTTTTTTTGTTTTTTTATAATGCTGCATTTTCTTTTTCCAGAGAAAGTTATAAGAAAACTAGCCTTAAGAATTGAGAGAATGTTTTCAAGGTTATCCTCCATGAGTATAAATCACATTATCCGGAAAGGTCTTTTAGCTGGAATAAGGTCATGCAGACTGCCACAATAACACTGGTTCCGGAAGACTCCTCTTTAGACAAGCTGGGCACTAGTACACGCTGAGGGCCTGACTCAGCTGATTCAGTATTAATAACTTAAATCAAAGGCAAGAGATGGCAGAGGGGTAGATGATTTAGCCATTGTTTAGATCTCTCCTTCAATCCGCTAACCCTCTCAGATTTTTCCTGCTCCTCTCTTCGGTTCCTAATGCCTCATCCTTATCTATTTCCTACAGGTTCACTATTTTCATTGTTGAGGTTTATTCTTGCTTTTGTGGTTTTGAACTGATACGAGGGATGGAAAATAAAGCACTTCAGGTCTTAATTTTTTTTTTCATCCTATTCCGGGGAGGTGGGGCGCAGAGAGGTTTTCTTGAGTGTCGACGACCCCCCCTCCCCAGGCGGTAGAGTAAACGAGGAGTTGAGGACATGCACTATAATTCACTGTACATATTGTTTTGTCTCATTACATGTGCTAAAAGTCGTTGTGGAGTCCATGCAGGTAGATTAATTGAGACTGTGTGCTCTGAGACTCTTGCTTCCATTTCACCCAGCGTTCTGCTTGGCAAGGTTTCCATAGAAACTGGAGAGCAGTGCTGGGTAGGTAAAGGAACAGGCAGACGAGACCTTCTGCTGCTAAAATGAGGATGTACTGTAGACGTGATGAACAACTCAAAGGCCATAAAGTCACAGTAGAAAAGTATGAGCTGTCTTAGCGAGTGTTAAGCTCAGGAATAGGTCTAGAATGTTCTAGCACATTTGTGTTCCTACATCATTAAGGTCAGAAAGTTAGTGTTAGTTGGAGCTGCCTGAGAATATATGGAAGTTTTTTGTCTTTGTCTTGCCTGAAACTTAAAGCTTAATAGTAAGGTATACGATATCTGTCTGAAATCCCCCCCCCCCCCTTTTTTTTTACCCTAAGTTCCCACTGTCATGGAAAATATTAAAATATCAGGCACAATTTTTGGATTTATGGGTCTAGAAATGTCATGCAAATGAATTAAATCCTCTAGTAATTTCTATAACTTGGAAGGCAGTACTATGATGATTTTCCTCATACATTGTTGAGTCTGTTTTACTAAATAGTTTCACTCTAATGTCACTAATATTTTCATACTAAATTATCTATTTGCGTATTTGCGCACTGTGATTGGCTTTTCATTGCAGTGATACTAATTCTCAGCTGACAAGTATTTTGAAAGTAGTCTTGTTTGTTCACCAAGGCTGCATTTTTTTAAATCAAAAATTGTGAAATATTATTGCAATTTAAAGTAACTGTTTTCTATGTTAATATTTTATAAATTGTAATTTAGTCCTGTGATGGAAAAGCTGAATTTTCAGCATCATTTCTCCAGTCTTCAATGTCACATGATGCTTCAGAAATCATTCTAATACGCTGATTTTATGAAGAAACATTTTTTTGTTCTTATTTTAACAGTTAGTATATATAAAACTGGTGCTGGTATATATTTTTGTGGAAACAGTGATAAAAAAAAAAATATTTCAGGATTCTTAGATAAATAGAAAGTTCAAAAGAACAGCATTTATTTAAAATTTGCATCTTTTATAACATTATAAATTTCTTTACTGTCATTTTTGATCAATTAAATGTAATCAAAAGAATAAAATGACTGGCCCCAATCTTTTGTACAGTAGTGTAGACAGTAGTACTGTAGGTTATGACAAGTTTATATACTTTTAGTGTTTTGCGACACTAATAGATTCCAAATCTATTTTCCATTCTAGTTATGCTCACCTGTAAAATATTTGATGGACCCTTTTCACATACTGTGTTGATTTATTTCCACAGTTCCATATTTTTTTTTAAATTAATATTTTTTATCACGCTACACTTTGTGTTATATTACCTCGGCAGTGAATTGCAAAAAAACACTGCTGCGTGAGTTTTTCTAATACAACAGCTGGGAGTGATGGAAGATTTCTCATGATTCTCTTTTCTGACTGCTGTAATCATTCTCTCGATTTTTTTTTTTTTGATACTCTTTTGGAAAGTCATGGAAACATCATTATGGATTTTTTTTTCTTTTCTAGTGGAGGAAATGGGAAAACGGAGAGTATATTTGCTGTTGACTCCCATTCACCACTATATAAGTTTACCCAACTATGATGCCTTCCGCTTCTGATAAGCCCGGAAATGTGAAAAGGGTCCATTGGCTGGAAATTGCTCTTTCTATTCCCTTTAGCTCAAACTGTAGAGCATGAGCTGAAATCATGGGTTCAATTCCTGCATAAACTGTTAAATTGTAATCCTTGAATTCAATATCGATTTGGATGAAAGCATCTGCCAAATGCATAAATGTAAATGTACTTGCAGCATGAAGGTGACTTATGGCCTAAAGACCTAAAGCAGAGTGCATCATTACCTTATAACCTGAACAGAGGGAGAACATCCACTTACGGCCCTGCACAGACCAGCACAGCCAAACACCAGAGAGAGGTCAGCATTACACTTACACAAATGTCATCAATGCTTAACTAACCTTTTCATTTAAAGTTGCTTAATGCATTGTTTGCTTCAGTGAACATTTCTAAATGCCAGCACAGTTAGCAGTAATCAGACCTGATCTCCATCTTAGTTGACAGTTAAACCTTATCCATATCGTCTTGCCCACAAAATGGTTGTTCAAGTCTATTCCCTGCATACAAAACAGCCTATGACTCGTATAACCACGAATATTCATGTGCTTTCTGCAGGTTAAAGGGAAGTCAGTCCTCACTACAAGTATAGAAGGTTCAAATACACAAAACCAAATGACCACAGATGAGGGCAACCAACCAGACTCGAGGCAGAAATTGACAAGCGGTGAAGGAACTCCATGTGTCTCCAGGCATGAAATGGTGATTGATGACACACATCAGTCTCAGCGAAGAGCATCGCTTCAAAAAGACACCCAGCTATCACCGAATAAAGCCCCATTGCCCAGCAGAGGTGTGCAGTTGCCTCAAAACCTCATTATGGAACTAAGTACTGTTCTCAACAAAACAGGACGTTCTCTGAACAAAGACAATTAAGAGAGACAGAAAGACAGGAGTCTTGTCCATTGCACTTTCCTTGTGCACGAGAAAAATAAAACGGCAGAGTTGCAATATTAAATTCAGTAAGGAAGTTATTGGGCTCTTTGGATCAAGTATTTAACATAATAATTAAAATATTGGAGGTAAAGACTTTTTCGTCATATCCCTTTAATTCAGAACAATGTAATTCAGTATTTTTGAACTTTTTTGATTGCTTTTGGCTTTGCATTGAAACCTGCATTTCCCCTTTTCATTTTCACACCTGTTTTAACTGTGCGTCAGATTCACTTCATTGCCATTCATAAATCCTCTCCCGTACCCTCATGAGATAGTAAAGCATCCATTCAATGCGAACTTCAGAATCTTGGTAGAAGTAATAGGTCATTCGGGTACTTTTCACCTATTGAATACTAGCAATATACTATGTATTCTATTCAGACACACTGTTGGCATACTGTTTTTTTTGCATACTACCGGTATAAAGTAGTATTCAATCTTGGATGCAGCGCTGGAGATTTTAGATGAGATTGGACATCATTGTCTAGTTCTGTCTTTTTCAACCTCAGCTAGAACCCGCATGACCCATTACTTTGGAAGTGCTCATTCAATAGGCGCTTTACTATCCAGTGAGGGGGGATTTAAAGGGATACTCCACTTTTTTTTGGAAATAGGCCCATTTTACAACTCCCCTAGAGTTAAACAGTGGAGTTTTTTCTGTTTTTGAATCCATTCTGCCGATTTTCTGATATTTCGAAGAATATCAGTAACCAGACAGTTTCTGGTCTCATTGACTTCCATAGTAATTTTTTTATGGATACCATGGAAGTCAATGAGACCAGAAACTATCTGGTTACGGATATTCTTATAAATATCAGAAAATCGGCTGAATGCATTTGAAAATTGTGAAACTCAACTGTTTAACTTTGGGAGAGTTATAAAATGAGCCTATTTCCAAAAAAAGTGGAGTATCCCTTTAAAGGGTTAGTTCACCCAAAAATGAAAATTAAGTCATTAATTACTCACCCCCATGCTGTACCAACCCCGTAAGACCTTCGTTCGTCTTCGGAACACAAATGAAGATATTTTTGATTAAATTTGAGAGCTGTATAACTACCACATTGGCTCCTAAGGGACTGCCTCTTGACGGCCCAGAAAGTCAATGAAGAAAATGTTTAAATATCCCAAGTGACTACCGTGGCTCAACTATATGTTTATCAAGCGACGCGAATACTTTTTGTGCGAAAAAACAAACAAAAATAACGAGTTTATTCGACTATTTCTTTTCTTCCTTGTAGGCCAGAACGAGACTTCCTTATAGATTTCCACGACGCATGCGCGAGAATTGCGATCTGAAGTAGTGAAGGCTGGTGTGAGCAGATCGCAAATCTCGCGCATGCGTCGTGGAAATCTAAGGAATTCTCGTTCTGGCCTACAAGGAAGAAAAGAAATAGTCGAATAAACTCGTTATTTTTGTTTGTTTTTTCGCACAAAAAGTATTCGCGTCGCTTGATAAACATATAGTTGAGCCACGGTAGTCACTTGGGATATTTAAACATTTTCTTCATTGACTTTCTGGGCTGTCAAGAGGCAGTCCTTTAGGAGCCAATGTGGTAGTTATACAGCTCTCAAATTTAATCAAAAATATCTTCATTTGTGTTCCGAAGACGAACGAAGGTCTTACGGGGTTGGTACAGCATGGGGGTGAGTAATTAATGACTTAATTTTCATTTTTGGGTGAACTAACCCTTTAAGTGAATCTGACACTGGTACAGTAGGTCACGTGACAGTAACAACATGGCGAATTTCATTCATACTACCCATATCCATACTATATAGAACACTTCCAAAGTTCAAATTCAAATGTATTACCTTGTTGAGATGTGAGGAATGGTAACTTTAAAAAAAAAAAAAAGATGTTGGCATGGCATGAAAATAGCATATATTTATTTTCTTTTGACCTCGCACTTGAACCCGATATTCCGGTAATATTACAGTCGTCTCTCTGGTAAAGTAAGCCCAGATCTCCCACAACTCAAAATCCAATCACCAACCGATTGATCGAATCAAGACCCTGTCATGCCTTTTGTTCTTTGTCAATGATGTGCATCACAATGCAGAAGAAATGATCTATCACTACTGCTATTCTATCGCACCTTTAATGAATCTAGGTTAATGTTCATTTGTACATATTGATGTATTATTATCAAACATGAAATAAAAATGAACAATTGTATGTTTATAAATCTACAGTAATCTAGATTAATAAATGATAGGACAAATTCGTTAATTTTACGTATTTAATTGTAAGTCATTTTAGTTCAGATACCAAGCTTGTTTCAGTTTTTGTTTTGTTTTTGTCTCAGGAGAATTGTGTGTCCTTTTAATAGTTGGATACAAAAATAGCCCTGCTGTTTTCCTACATTCACATTCCTGTTTTCATGCTAGTCGTTGTTCCAGACAATGATGCTTCAATTGCATTGATCTGTTTAGAACTTATCAAACCTCGATGTAATGAAAGTGGTTGTTCAGAAGTGAGCTGAATTAGTCATTACAATCTCGCCACGTGTTTTTTCAAGAGAAACTTGTGCCCATTTATAGCTGGATACAAAAACCACCCACCATTCCAAACCCTCCAAAGTTGTTGAATAATGCATAAAAGTATGAGAGCATGCACATTGAATATCGTCACCCAGTTTGATATTAAATATTTATAGTTGACATTTTATGTAGATTATGAATCACTTAACAGCCGCCTGCATCTCATTGTCGTTTTTCAAATGGTAATCATGCACTCTGCTTGTCGTCAAAACATGTAATATGCAATAGTCAATGTGACATGCAAATAAACATAAAGTTAAAATGTTCATACTTCATACACTACCATTCAATTGTTGTGTTTGGCTATTGAAAGAACTCAAGGCTGCATTTACTGTATTTTACCAAAAGTCACATGATCCTTCAGAAATCATTCCAATATGCTGATTTGCTGCTCTAGAAACCCGTTTCATTATTAATGATGAAAACAGTTGTGCTGATTATTAATTTTGTTGAAATGATTGTTTTTTTTTTCCTCTTCTGGGTTCTTTAATGAATTGGAAGTTCAAGAGAACAGCATTTGTTTGAAATATAAAACTTTTGTAACATTCTAAACTTTTTATGCATTTATTGCATCCTTTATAAATAAAATACATTCTTAGCCCAAACTTTTTGTGAAGGGTAGTGTGTATACTGTAGATATGGTGGGTCAACAGTGTTGAATTGCTTGTTTGCATTCATATTTCGAGTGCACTCTCAACTCCTCAACGTCTATAGAAATATGCTGCAGAATCGCCCTTGGTTTATTGTGTGTCTGTAAGAGAATCCTGCTGGCATTTTGATTTGAGTGTTTTTTATTACTTCTAAAGTGTTAATCAGGTTGTGTTTCATGTGTTGTATTGTCTTTGCCTGTAAGTAACACACCTGGGCCGTCTCCCTCATTAAAGTTTTAATGCTTGAATTAATTGGCTACTTTATAAATGACGACTGTCAGATGCTGACACCTTGAGCAACGCCACATGTTATGGTTTTGATTGAAACAAGTAGCTTCTGTGCTATTGTCACTCAAAGTGTGTGTCTGTGTGTGTTTGTTCACACCTGTTTTGGCGGTGCTTCTCTCCTAGGCATTACTGCTACGCCCGTGCTGTCGCTTTTCTCTCATCTGAAGGTCACCATATGGCAAGAGTGTTGGGAATGAAGAACCTCAAATAATTGAAAACGTGTGTGACTTTGACACACAAAGGAAGGGCGCGGTGTAGTGGGGAAATCCAGGCGTTTTGAATGAATTAGCCGGGCTGCATCTGTTACCTGGCAATTTATAGTGGCTACTGTTTTCTGAAAGTTTTTATGAAAAGTTTTGTATTGCTCATTTTGACCCAACACATAATAGCCATGTATTTTTAGTAGCGAATGTTTACCTACACACTCGCCCCACTGACTTTCTTGGACTGGCCGAACTACAATAATAGTCACGGCCAGGAAAAAAGCTCCCAAATAACTTCCTCAAAATCCATTTAAAAAAGAGATTAAGCTAATATGACACAAACATTTGCTCATAAAAGATGCAGCGTGTCCCTATAGTCTGTTATTTCTCAGAGGCTTTTGTTTTATCAGTACAAAGTCCATTCACTGTTAAGACTGAAAAGCAAGCATTCACCAAGCTTTCAGATTTCATCACTAATGCATAACCTTCCCCTCATGCTATTAGTCAGTAAACACTGAGCAGTCCAGGGAGATTACAACAGTCAATAAAGCAAGTTAGGTTTTTAATTTACGCAACAAAATAGGAAAGGTGGGACAGTGGGACACCGCAGGCACCGAGTGGCTCTTGTGGGACAATTAATGTTAAACTATTCAAATGATGGACTTAAGAGCTTAATTAAATAAAGGCGAGTGTGCTTTTTGTTACAAGAGTTTTAAATAACTGGCGAGCCATTACATTGTCGCTTTTTCCTGACCTCTTATTTCTGTGTTTCTGCAGTGCATTAATGAACTAATGCACTTATTTAAAACCTAATTGATTTTTTGTTTGTATAATGTACATATATGGAAGTCTATTTCTGATTCAGAGTATTCAAAATATATAAAGGTAACTGCGACTTTATATCTCACAATTGTGACATAATTTCTTGTATTTCTTGTAATTATGACTCAGTAGCAATAATCTCACAGTGTGACTATATCTCAAAAGCACTATTTAATTATTCATTTGCCTATTTATTTTTTGCAATTGTAACCATATCTCCCGTCTGTGACACTGTCTCACAATGTGATGTAATTGTGAAAATACATTTAGAATAGTCTTTTTCTGATTTTTAAAAAAAATCGTATTATTATTATTTTTTACTATTCTGCAAGGATACATTTTGTTGATCAAAAGTGACTGTAAAATTATTTCTATTTCAATGCTGTTCTTTTGAACATTCGATTACACTCTATTTCAATAATGCACTTTTCTCTATTTTTCAATAGTCCAAAGACATTTTACGAACTATAAGTAACTTTGCAACTACATGTCAACTAACTCTCATTAGAGTATTAGTAGACTAGGTTAGGGGTTCGGATTAGTAGTTGATATGTAGTTGCAAAGTTACTTATGATCAGAAAAATCTCTGTAACTTGGGAAAGAATCAAAAAGCATCATAAAGTCTTAGCATTTATCATGGCATAATAACCAGTGCCCCCGGTACAGGGGGCAACACCTTGTTATGATTAAGAACTCTAAAAAGTCCCTCGGTGCTTAACAGGGGCCATTTTAGCAGACAGTCTACTAATGTTAAAGTCTAATGAGAGTTGGTGGACAGTTATAAAGTTAGTAGAATATAAAATGTATGCTGGTTTTCACAAAAATATTGAGCATCCCTCCCAAATGTTCTGAACATTGATAATACATTCAAAAACAATATTTATGCCTAAAAATAAACAAAACTATTAACTATATGATGCATTTGTCGGTCAGATAAACGGATATATAAATATACACTCACCTAAAGGATTATTAGGAACACCATACTTATACTGTGTTTGACCTTCAGAACTGCCTTAATTCTATGTGGCATTGATTCAACAAGGCGCTGAAAGCATTCTTTAGAAATGTTGGCCCATATTAATAGGATAGCATCTTGCAGTTGATGGAGATTTGTGGGAT